TGTGTGTGTGTGTGTGTGTGTGTGTGTGTGTGTGTGTGTGCATGCCCAAAATTCCAAGAGGAGAATGGAGGAGAAGGTATTATGGCATGGCCATACCCTCAGGAGGTGTGATTCCCCCCCTGCTTCCTGTCTCTGTTTCTCCAGTGAGCACACACACCCTATAGCAACAATCTCTCAAAAAACAAAACAAAAAAAAGAGGTAAGTTCCAGCAGCTTGGCCAGCTGGAGGAGTGGTAGGATTTATCCGCTCAACTCAGCAAAGGTTCTAGGTATACCATGGCTTCTCAGGCACCCAGCACGCTTCCTGTTCGCGGCCAAAATGCCCAAGAGGAAGGTCAACCTAGCTGAGAGGTGGCCAAGGAAGAATCCAAGAGATCAGCGAAGTTGTCGGCTAAACTTGCTCCTGTAAAAGTGGAGATGAAGCCAAAAAAGGCAGTGGGGAAGGATAAATCTTCAGACAAAAGAGTGCAAACAAAACGGAAAAGGGGAAACAGGCTGAGTGGCCAACCAAGGCACTAAAAAAGATTTACCTGCAGAAAATGGAGAAACTAAAAATGAAGAGAGTCCACCTTCTGATGAAACAGGCAAGAAGGAAGTCAAGTCTGAGTAATGTCATATCCCATGTCTTATCAGGAGTCCCTGTCTCCCTTCTTGTACAATCCAGAGGAATATTTTTATCAAGTATTTTATAAATGCAAATTTTTAGTAGCTCTAGAAACATTTTTAAGAAGGAGAGAATCCCACCTCATCCCATATTTTAAGTGTAAATGCTTTTTTTTTTAAGAGGTGAAATCATTTACTGGTTGTTTATCTTTCAGTACAACCAGGAAATAGTGAGATATTGACTTATAGGAGGCTTTGACTCTCTTGCATGTCAGCTTAACATTGCATAGGTGGGGGTGGGAGGGTAGTTTTTAATCTCCTAAATATAAAGCCTACTGGGAACCAGCAGTTAGCGTAATGGCTATGTCGCTGGATTCCCATGTAGTCGACCACGGTTCAAGTCCCGGACCCGGTGGCTTAAAACTCACGCCGGGCGCGTGTGCTTGTGTGCCCAAGATCCCGGGAGGAGAATGGAGGAGAAGGGATTGCAGCGTGACCATCCCCCCTGGGGGGTGATTTCTCGCTTTCTGTCTCTATGTCTCTCTCTGTCTGTCTGGCGAGCGCACGCGCCCTATAGTGAAAAAAACAACTCTCAAAAAAAAAAAAAAAAAAGCCTACTAAATGGCAATTTGGAGTCACAGTCATGCATTTAATGTGTTTTGAATATTTTAATTACTTCTATTATGTATTGTTTCCTAAAGAAAACCACTCTGATTGTTGCTCTCCCTGTCAGAACTATGTGCACTCTGTAACATCTTTGGTCATGGTATTCCAGTCTTCCTAATAATTTTGTTAATGTACTATGAAAGATTGGAAATTTGAGTAGATAGTGTGTATGACACTAAATTGTGATTTGGTGGAACTTACATAACAACTTTCAACATTTGAAGACAGTGGTTCTTGATATCCTCTTAAGGAAAAATTATCTACAGATTTAAAACTGGAATGTCACTGGAATAACTTAAAAAGAATCATACTTGGCTTTTTTAAAAAAAAAAAGAAAAAGAAAGAAATCAAAAGTTAGAAGACATCAGGTATTCTTTTTTAGTGTTTTATTTATTCACATAGATAAGCAATTACCATCATAATTTGAAGGACACTTTTTAGTTATTAACAAGACTATAGGAATAACTGTACAGAAAGTTTGTGCTATAAATGTATATCCCTAAGGAATTAAGGTTTTCGTAGAGAAATAAAAACTCCAAAGGATCTGAGGTTAGCCCTCACTAACCACAGAGTGCAAAGCGCCATCTGCTAATCGTGGTGAAGAGAGTGGATTAAAAAATCTTTCGCATATTTCCTATCATTATTCCCTGCCACAAAATGGAATGCCTATTACAATGTCATGATTTATTTTATATAAAACAGTATTTTTATACTCAAAAGTATTTTTTTTTCTGCTGTATGATCAAAGGCAATTTTACTTAGTAAAAATGATCTCAGTACAAGACCCAATGTTTTCCATTTCATACTGTCCTTGCTGAAGTTCACCTCGATGCTGCGGAGCAATTTTCTAAACTGCTCACTCTCGATTAGGCTAAAGGAGAATTCTCCAGCAACCCACTAAACAGGACACAGGCTAAAACCCTGTTCACAAATACACTTTGCAATCGGTGTATTTGAAATAGAAGCATTACTTGCCAGTCCGTTATTTTTCCTAATGCCTAAACTATAAATACATTCTTTTTTAAATAGAGGTTTTCAAACCAATGATGTGTGCATCCCAGTCTCACAGCCCAGACTTTTACACTTCTCATCTGCAAAACATAATGCAATAAATTGTCAAAAAGGGGAAGGAAAAAAAAGGAAGCCCCATCTGGTTTACAAAATGAAAACCACAAGCACTGCAAGACATTTACTATGAAATATTAAAGATAAATATTTTTCAAGATAATTTTCTAACTCTTCTTGATTGTAAAAGTAACAAAAGGTCAAAGTACAAGATTTAGAAAGTAATAAAAAAAAAAAATCCTTGTAACTCAGCCCTTCAAATGGGACTGTTATTCTTTGGGGATTTTTCTTTCAGTATATATTTTTTTATACACAAGTAATTGTGTTGAAGACAGGCACATACAGGCACATAGCATACTTTTTCTTAAATAAAATTAGGATATTATATCTGAGTTTTTACCTTTTGTTTACTTACTATATGACACATTAAGTATCTATGACATTAAAAATCCTCCCAAACAGGATCTTAACAACCTATCATATGGTTGTATCATAATATATTTAACCATTTCCTTACTTTGGAACATTTGTGTTGTTTCCAGTGTTTTTAACATAATAAACAAGACTATCACAAAGATATTTAAAACCCGTAGCACTTGGAATGATTTTCTTAAGATGTACTCCTAGAAGCAGAATTACTTTGTTACAGGTGTATCTGCTATGGCCAAAATCACCAACTCCCTTCCCTGCCAAAAAAAAAAAAAAAAAAAGACACACACAGCCTGTCCTATCAGACTTCAACCTATTCAAAAATTCTAAAACTTATAATCACATGGCATATGTATTTACAAATATATTTTATGGATCATAAAAATATCAATGTCTGAAAAAATAGAAATAACAGGAAGCAGAATCACTATTATGTTTTAGCATATATTCTGGAAAAAATATAGATTTAACTTTAAACCCACACTATGTGTTTTAATCTGTGCCAAATGATCAGAGAATTCAGAATATCATGTTGATACCAGGAAAGATGACAAATTGGCTCAACTACTTAAGAAAAGGAAAATATCTGAAGGAGTGGAAGGGAGTTCCAGCACAGGAACTTGGACAAAGGCCTTGCCTTCAACAGAACTGCGAGTACTGCAGCTCTCTGTCTCTCATGGGCAACTTAAGCCTAACTCTTTTTTCCCTTCATTTTAAGCCTTACTATTCATCTTTTAAAATCTCTAAAGCAAAAAATAATTTTATTACTATATTGTAGTTCCAACTATAATCATTAACACTTGAAACTCAAAAAAAAAAAAAAAAAAAGACTAATTTCTTAAACATCCAAACCCAATGTTCTGAAATAAAATGTGAATACTAAGACTTTTACAATAAAGACAACTTTTCTCTCTTTCGGTACTTACTCAGTATGAGCAAGTTTTATTTCTTCCCTTTGTCTCGCAGAATAATTTAGATTCCCACCTGAAACAAATAAACCGATTATTTCCATATGAGTCATTAAGTAAGAAAAAAGTTAACCACAGATACACACTCAAACACTTGCATAGGCATCTCTTATTTTAAATAATAGAAAAAGCTATGGGAGTCCCAGCAGCTCGGGCAGCAGGAGAGGGGCAGTGTCTATCCCCCAAGCTCCATGGGGCTCTCGGCGAACCACAGCAGCTCAGGCCACCCAGGCCCCCAGGCTCCCGGCAAGTGCCCTGTCCACAGCCACAGTGCCCAGGGTGTGGCCAAGGAAGAGCCCAAGAAAAGATCAGCAAGGTTGTCTGCCAAACCTGCTCCTGCAAAAGCGGAGACGAAAAGGCAGCAGGGACGGGTAAATCTTCAGACAAAAGACAGCCAAAGCGAAACAGGCTGAAGTGACCAACTGAGACACTAAAAATGAGATCCACCCTCTGATAAAGCAGGCGAGAAGGAAGTCAAGTCTGAGTAATGTCTTATCAGGGGTCTCTGTCTCCCTTCTCATACAATCCAAAGAAATATTTTTATATAAAATGCAAGCATTTTAGTAGCTCTGGAAACATTTTTAAGAAGGAGGGAATCTACTTCATCCCATTTTTTAAGTGTAAATGCTTTGATCATTTGCTGGTTGTTTATTTTTCAGTACAGCCAGGAAATGGTGGGATATTGACTTATGGGAGGCTGTGACTGCCTTGCGTGTCAGTTTAACATTCTATAGGTGGGTGGGGTAGTTTTTATATCCTAAATACAAAGCCTACTAAATGGCAGTTCGGGGTCACAGTCATGCACTTCCTGTTTTGAATATTTTCAATTACTTCTTATTCTCATGTTGGTTTTTAGTAGAATTGTTTCCTAAACAAAACCACTCTTTGACTGTTGCTCTCCCTGTCAGAATTGTGTGCACTCTGTAACATCTTTGGTCATGGTACTCCAATTCTCGTAATAATTTTGTTAGTGTGCTGTGAAAGGTTGGAAATTTGAGTATGTAGTGTGTATGATACTAAATTGTGATTTGGTAGGACTTACACAACAGCTTTCAACATTTGAAGAGAGTGATACTTGAGATGCTCTTAAAGAAAATGTGGCTACAAATTTGAAGATGGAATGTCACTGGAAAACTTGAAATGAATCACAATACACAGCTTTTTTTTGGGGGGGGAGAGGTTTTCGCTATAGGGCAGGTGTGCTCGCCAGACAGACAGAGACAGAGAGACAGAAAGCGAGAAATCCCCCCCGAGAGGGGATGGTCACGCCGCAATCCCTTCTCCTCCATTCTCCTCTCGGGATCCTGGGCATGCACAAACATACGCCCAGCGTGAGTTTTAAGCCACCGGGTCCAGGACGTGAACCGCGGTCGACTACGTGGGAGTCCAGCGACATAGCCATTACGCTAACTGCTGGTTCCCAATACACAGCTTTTTAGAGTTTTGGTATGTATGTTACGAATTGGGCACAAATTGAAATGTCTGTACTGATCCTTGAACACAACCAATAAATCTCAATTACAAAAGAAAAAGAAAGAAAGAAGGAAAGAAAAAAAGAATGAGCTATGGAAGATGAGAAAAGTTATTTATCTACTGGAACCTTACCAAGAGGAAAAAAGTTAGAATCTTCATATAATAGAATTGCCCCTTAATTTTAGTTCAGACTTTTATTATATTCTGCTAAGGATAAAATACCTTTCAGGAGCAAGCAGTTACAAAAATTACTAAGAGCAGGGCTAGGCAGTGGCACAGTGGTAACACAATCAGACCCACTAGGGAAAGGCCGTGGGTTCACATTCCGGGACCTCCCCGAGCACACCAGGCATGTGCAAGCATGCTCGTGGTCCAGGTCGGCTAAGGCTGGGGTGGATCACAGCGTGGAGATTCTATTGGTGCTGCAACTCTCTCTGTCTCTCATGAAAGAAATAAATACACTTTTTAAATAAGGGGCAATATCAAAATTAATAAAGAACAAAAATGGCACTATTTGGTTTTGTAATAAAAAAGCACATATTGGGACCAGCAGGTGGCATGGTGGTTAAGGTGCTGGACACTCCCATATGGCTGACCACAGTTCAAGTCCCGGACCTGGCAGCTTGCTTTCTCACTTTCCCTCTCTCTCTCTTTCTCTCTCTGTGTCTCTCTCTGGTCAAATTAAAATAAAATGAATGAATAAATAAAAATTAAAACAATTCTTTAAAAAAAAAAGCACATATTAACAAAAATTCTATTTATAAATTTGCTTACTTCTTACTCTTTTATTTTTAAGTTTTTGCCACGGGGTGCTTGCACTTGCCTGAGAGAGACAGTGAAAGGAAAGTGAGAAACACCCCCCAGGGGATGACTACACCACGATCCCTTTTCCTCCATTCTGTTCTTGGAATTTTGGTCATGCATGCAGATATGCTCAGTGTGATTTTTCAAGCTGCTGGATGTGGACTCAAACCACATCTAAAATGTGGGGGTCCAGTGCCTTAACCACCATGCCACCTGCTGGACCCATGTATTTCTTACTTTTAAATAATATATACTTGGCTGCTCCCTAGCCTGATGGTTAAAGGAACCAGACCGCACGCACATGGTTGTCCTCACTGTCTTGAGTCCCAGATCCAGTGGTTTGAAAAAGTATGCCAAGTGCATGTGCATGCATACCCCCAATCACAACAGGATTCAGAGATGAAGAAGGGACTGAGCTGTGACCACGCCCCATCGTGGGTATTTTCTCTCCTTCCTCTCTCTCTGTCTCTCTCATGTGAGTGCACATGCCCTCTGGTAGAATACATACTAATAAAGAAAAGGCTTCTAGGTTGTTATGCTAATAAAACAATAACTTCTATGATTTTACATTACAAAATTGAAACTGAACTGTCTAGAAAATGAAAACCATGATAGCAATTTTAGTAAGTGTAGGGGACAACAGGTGGCAAAGTGGTTAAGGTGCTGGAATCCCACATGGCCAACCATGGTTAGAGTTCCAGACCCAATGACTTGAAATTCATACTGGGTGCATGTGTGAATATGCCCAAAATTCCATGAGGAGAATGGAGGAGAAAGGATTACGGGATGGCCATCCCCCAAGGGTGATTTCTTGCTTTCTGTCTCTCTGGCTAGCACACATGTCCTATAGCAAAAATCTCTCTAAAAACAATTTTTTTTTAAAGTGTAAGGTCCAGAATATATATTTATATATTACACAGTCAAATGTGTTTCCATCACTTTGAACAGAAAGTCATTATTACATGAACTAAAGCTCTGGTCCCCAAAGACACATAGACAATCCAGGGACCCCACAAGATGATCCACTAGAGTTTCAAAAGAAAATAAAACTTCTGCTTACCTTGGGCACGGTTTACCACGTAGAGGAGGACCACAGATAAAAGTGACACTAAAAGTGAAAAAAAGGGTCCTTAAAAATACATATTTCTTCTCAATGAGTACCAAGTCATTATAATTACAAAGTACAGCATAGACACAATCAAACTTTTATTTGCTGGCACATAAAAATAAAAATACCATTCACATCATATTATTTTCCAAAAGCATTAAAAATAAATTATGCACCATTTTCTAAAAGGGCCACTCAGCCCAGGAATGGCAGGGCCAGAAACTGAGAAGCTGAGAGCCCTATAGGTGAGGAGGCCAACTTGCCCACAGGCTGTCCTGCCCCTCCCTCCTCTCCCTTTGTAAGTGCTGGTCCTTCCTGGCACTTCCCCAAAGCCCTTGTCAGTCTCTAAACTGTTTATCCCTTTACAAAAAGCCAAACAGAAGTAGCCCTTTGGAGTTTTTAAGTCTGAAAACATCATGTCCATTTTACAAATAAAATAAATATTAAAGCATGATCATTAGGGCTCTCAGAACCAACAGCGAGGAAAGATTTCAAAGGTCAGGTGTTTGCGTCTTCCCTTAACAACTGAGGCACACTGTTTAATTTACTTTAAATTATTATGGCAATAAAGACATCTTTAAATGGCATAGTATTGGGTTAGAAACCCAAATATAGGTTCAACTGTGGACTGAAATTAAAACACATGCAGAAACATAAAAAAAAAAAAAAAATCCTCCAACCTAATGTTTGAATTCTTATAAGGCCATGTTTTAAAAACAAATGACTTATTTTTTAAATTTGATTTGCTTGTAATTATAATCATGAAATAATAAAATGCCTTTAAAGCTACTCATAAGAAATTACATGCAAACACCACACTTCAAGCAGTCTTTATTCTCTGAAAATGCAAGCAAAGTTTGATAAAATCAAACGGTGCTTTGTCTCTTTAAACACATTATTGAAGTATAAAAGACATTTTGATATGTTATAGGAAATTTTTTTTTTCTGATAAAAACAATTTATGTGTATGGTAAAGATTATCTTATGGAAATACGTTGATTATTTTTCCACAGTTTTTCTAATGTTTCCTATTTTCAAACAATGAACTATTACAGATAAAAATTAAATGACAGACTAAAAACAAAAGCAATTTAAAACTGCCCAATGAATAAACCATGAGCCCTCACACCTAAATAATACCTATGTCCACAAATTCACACTGGGGACATACTCAGGATTCTTCAAATTGTCCCACTTCAAAGGGGAAAATTTTTTTTGCGGGGGGGAATGTTTTTTAAAAATCATAAATATTTAAAACAGATATGAAGCAGATTCCACTACTTTACTCAAAAACTAGTAATCTCTTGAAAAAATACACATGAATTGTCAGAGAGCTCAGAAATCAGCAGCTGTGAAACTCTGATGCACAGGCTAGGCACTAAGCAAATCTGAGCGGTATGTCTTACGATTTGGTTTCCTGGACGAGGGAGAGGAGAGGGAGCATAACAACAGCAACAACAACAACAAAGTAAAGAGGTGAACATTCTGCTACATAAGAAAATTAAATGTTGTCACATGGCAATACTCACAAGAAACACAGGCAATGAAGAAGACTTCTAAAAACAGATATCCCCTACTATCCAATATCATGCCAGCAATGATAGCAATGATTGCCAATCCAAGATTCTGAATGGACTGCATGCTACAATTTAGGAAATTGAAAAAGAAAAAAAAAAAGATTTCATTTTCAAAAAGTCTCACTCATTGACTAACACTTCACCGGAAATATTCGTATATGTAAACCACATACTATAGTGCTGAGATGTTTTCAGCGAGAGAAGACCTGATTAGATTCTGTTTTTTCATCCCATGACTATTCTGCTACTAGACTGTCTGCTCAAAGGTAAGGCAGCTGGCTTCATTAAGTGCAATGGCTACTCAACACCTTCCTACTGAATGAAGGAAAAGACTGCATGACTACCAACCACAGGTGTGGTTCCCCCATTATGCCTTTTTAGATCAGAGATAGGACTCAACTTCTCACTGAGGTGCCCTCAGAAAACCAGGCAGTGGATGGTAATGTCAGGAGTCACCTCTCATGGGTTAGCGTCATTCAGCTTTCTTGTTGGAGACCTGGAGTTCCTTTGTTGTTCCAACGGTATCTTAAATAGATTAACTGACTTCTCAAGTTATCCCCAGGTTGGGGCTGTTCCAGAAGCCAGATGACAAAAGATTCTGAGTCTTATACGATAATCGCACTGACCCAGCAGAGAGAGACATATATGATCCGTAGTGCAAGTACTTACAAACCATACGCAGTTCCCAGCTGATGCTCAGGAACTACAAATGCCACCATCGGCCATAATGCACAAGCCAACAATGAATAGGAGACTCCCAGAAGACACTGGAGAAAGCAATGTGGAAAGGGGCCAAAGCCTTGTATTAACCAAAAGGTGATTTTTCTTCTATGTAGATCAGCAAAAATGACACTGTAGCCAAGTTATCCCCACTCAAGCAAAGTCTAGTGCTATCAGGCTAAAATTCATATTCAAAATATACCAAAAAAGTCTTGGCCCTCTCTAAGACCATCCCTCAAATAACAAGAGACACACTGCCTTAAGCGTTTTCATGTGTATCACATCATATGCATATATAACTGGCTGGGACCCAGGTGGCAGTCAAGGACCGAGCAAGAAAATAAAGCTAATTTGCACAAAGGTTTTTACCAGTGTTACAAACTCCTTTTCCAGTATTTATTAGAAATTATAATTCAAGCAATCAAGACAACCTCACACCAACCTCACACCAACATTCAATTGGAATGCAGAGCAGAGAGCTACCCACCACCCCGCCCACCACTCTGTTACACATCTCCCACTGTTGGCTTTTTCTTCAGTTAGAGAAGAAATCTTAGGTTTTAAATCCAAGTATTATTTACACCTATCAGATTGGCCAAAAATGTCAATGCCCAATACTGGCAAGTATACTAAAAAACAGACGCAGTTGTATATTATCGAAGCTATAAATAAGTACAGTTATTGGAGAAGTTTCACAATATCTATTGGGCCTCTGCTGTAGCATCTGAACTTCTAGAAACCTGTACTGTAACAGTAGAAATTCACACCACAAATATTTATGCTCAAGATATCCCCTTATTGGGACCAGCAGTTGGCGTAATGGCTATGTCGCTGGACTTCCACATAGCCAATCGCGGTTCGAGTCCCAGACCTGGTGCTTTAAACGCATGCCACGTGTGTGTGCATGCATGCCCAAGATCATGAGAGGAGAATGGAAAAGGGATTGCGGCATGGCCATCCCCCCGGGGGAGTGATTTCTCGCTTTCTGTCTCTCTGCCTCTCTCTGTCTTTCCAGTGAGCACACGTGCTCTATGGCAAAAACCTCTCAAAAAAAAAAAATATATATATATATATACCCCCTTATTTATAGTCAAAAATGTGGCACTTCAGTCTCTTAAAATGATATTCGAAGAAAATTTGATGAATTCATTATTATCAATTTTTATCCAACCAAGAGTCAAAGACAAAAAAATGAATCCTGGGTTGATGTTTGTTTGGTTGGTTGGTTGGTTTTTTGCCACCTAGAATGAAGTGACTTCTTTTAATGAAGTTTGAAAAGATAAATACAATAAGCATTCTTTTATAAAGCCATTTTATTCTACATTAATATTACATTGTTAAATACGCCAAGTGAAATAAAAGATAAATTATGCATTAATAATCTATCATTATATTAGGTCATCTGGAAAGTTGTGACATGTTTTTCTATGCAAAAATGTCACAACTTTCCAGACAGCCCAATACTTTAAATCATGATTCTGTCTTCTTTTTTTAATTGCCAGAGGGTATGTACACTCAAAAAAGAGAGACAGAAGAAAAAAGCACCCCCAGTGGGATGCGGTCACACCACAATTCCTTCCTCTTTCTCTTCCTATTTCTCCCAACTGTTGGCATTCTTGGGCAAGCACACACGCGCACTTGGTAGATATTGCAAACTGCAGGGGCTGGGATTTGAACGGCAGATGGCCATGTAGGATCTGGCTCCCTTAACCAGGCCAGCCCTAAAAAGTCATCATTCTGTAGAAATTAAATCAAGTCATTGTTCCCCCATCACACACACCGCCCTCTGAGGACAATGTGCCTCCTGATGCAGACCTGACAAAGCCCTCACAGCCTGATCGCCCCAGGCTTAACATGGACATTACCATAGCAATCCAAGGGTTCCACATCGTAAAGGCCAGCATCATGTGAGACACGAGAGTGGCCGCCACTGCACACAGAACCCAGATGATGTTCCTCCCTGTTTTATCCACCAGGAGCCCAAAGACTGGGGACATGGGCGCTGATATGACGTATACGACACTGCCCAGAGAACATACAAGATGTTTAGGGGTATGCAACATAGCTAAACATAAATATGAAAAAGCCCCTAAAATGATTAGGCAAAGCAAATCCTAACTCATTTAATTTAACATTTTTCTAAAATGATCACCAGAAAATGCAAATACAAAGAGCAGCCCAACACTTCTCTGGTTTTTCATTAGTGCAAAGATGGCCACACAGGATTCAAGTCTCAGGAGAGCCTTGACGTTAGGACACAGACATCCTTTATGCTGTTTACATTTGGTTATAATTAAAGACCCGCACTTGGTATGCAACGAGCATTTACAAAATTAATGAAATACCTGTTAATTGCACTTGCTGCCTGGGAAGAAAATTCAAATTTCTCTATAAAGAAAATTCTAAAATTAAAAAGACAGAGAAATGAGTAAATTGCTGGGTTTTTTTTAAAGGCAAAATAAAATAAGATAAATAAAAACAGCTCTTAAGTTTAATAAAATTTTCTTTCTTGACACCATTTTCCCATCTTATTTGATATTCATCATCTTCAAGCAATCTGCTAAAGCTTCAATATTTATATAAATACTTCACTAAATAAAATGTGACTCATAAAATGACAGGGAATGAAAATGAAAATGGCTTCTTGTGGGCCCGGCCACAGTGGCACAAGCATTAGGGCACCACTGGGTGAGGCTGGGGCCACAAGAGAGGTCCAGGTTTGGATCCTGGACCTAAACAGCCAGGCCCAATCGTGTGTCCCCGTAGTCCCAGCTAACAGGAAGACCACGGAAGGCAGATCACGTCACAGTAAGCCCTACCTCTCTCTCTCATAGAAAAAGGTATTAAAATAATATGAATTGATGTGACATTTTATAAATTCTTAAGAGAAATACTGTTTTACTAAATTAAGTATACACAGTGAACAAATCTTAAAAAGAAGGAAAGAAAGAAAGAGAAACTGCCTCTTTTCCTTAAAAGCAGTACTAGATAGGTTAAATAGAGTCTTGCCTCCAACTATTTGCCTCCAACAACTGCCTGAATTTAAAAGTTATACATCTCTACGAACACACCCACACTCACACACTGCTCTACTTAAGCAGCTACTAATAAAAAACAAGAATGAATACAAGATAAGCGAAAAAGAATTTGCTTTGACTCTCAAATTTAAGCCTGGCAGAATTACAATCCTATTACATGGAGACGTGGCCAGTCACTGATAGCCAATACATGTCTCTGTTCTCTATAAAAAGTTTCCTAATCAGGGCCAGCAGGTGGCATGGTAGTTAAAGGCACTGGATTCCCCACATGGCTGACCGCGGTTCAAGTCTCAAAACTGATGATTTGCTTTCTCTCTTTTTTTCTCTCTCTCTTCCCCTCTCTGGTCAAATTGAAATAAAAAAATGAATAAATAAATAAAGTGAAAAATAAAATAATTCTAAAAAAAAATTTTCTAATTAAAGAAGAGGAAATAAAAATTAATACTAGTTTATAATCAAGTATTAAAACAAAGCAATATTATGAATCAAAACAGTTACTAGGTATTTTTTCAAAAGAAAAATGAAAATATTAAACCAATACTAAGCCTTGAGCTAAGAAAGTCAGTTGTATTCCAGGGTATAAAACAATTTCTGTATAAACATAAACTATAATGAGAAAAGCAGGACTTTCTGCTGAAAAGTTCCGTTATGTAACTGAGCTCTCCTTATAATTCAGCCAAGAAAAAGGTACTGCTAGAGAATACTCACTTCCCAAGTCCAATAAAAGGGAACACGGCAACATAGTAGCAGACACAGATGATAAATATGAGCCAGAGGGCTAAGGAGAAGTCCTTCACATCCGTTAATTTAATAACTTCACCTTAGAGAAGAAAAGCAAGGTGTGATCAGCATAATTTTGCATATCTAAGGAACTTTCATCAATAGTCATTTTGTGTCAGACACATGATTAACCTTTGCAATTCAGTTAAAAGGTAACTTTCTAGTAAATTACACAAAATCATTATGGTTAACAGAAAAAGCAGACCTAAGGTTGGTATCTACCCTCCTGCTCCCTTCCAGGAACAATAATCATTTGCATGTATACAAATGACCAGTGAAAAATGTAAATTCTGCCAAGTGTTTAAGGGGGAAAAAGTGCCCAAAATCTTTAACGAAATAAACAGAAACAGATTTGGAAATAAAAAGTAACGGGCTAGCAGGTGGTGTGGTGGTTAAAACTCTGGGTCCCACATTGCCAATCCTGAGGTTTAAGTCCCAGACTCATCAGCTTGAAAAACAAGCTGTGTTAGGACCAGCAGTTGGCATAATAGCTTTGTCACTGGACTCCCATGTAGTCGACCATGGTTCAAGTCCCAGACCCGGTGGCTTAAAACTCACGCCAGGCACGTGTGAGTGTGTGCCCAAGATCCCGAGAGGAGAATGGAGGAGAAGGGATGGTGTGGCCATCCCCCCTGGGGGTGATTTCTCGCTTTCTGTCTCTCTGTTTCTCTCTCTCTGACTGGCGAGCACACACGCCTATAGCAAAAACCTCTCCAAAAAAAAAGGAAAAAAGAAAAACTCAAGCGTGTGTGTGTGTGTGTGTGTGTGCGCGTCGCGCGCCGAGAGGTAGGGTCGTTGCCAGGGCCACCCCCCTGGGGGGGGGGGGGATTTCTCTCTTTCTGTCTCTCTGTCTCTGTCTTTCTGGCAAGCGCATGCATCCTATAGTAAAAACTTCTCCAAAAAAAGAAAAACACGTCAGGCACACGTGTGTGCACACACATGTGCTTGGAATCCCAAGAAGAAAATTAAGTACAAGGAATTCCTGCCTGGCCATCCTCCCGGGAGGATGGTTTCTCACTTCCTCTCTGTCTGTCTCTCTGTCTCTAGCAAGTACACACACCCTATGGCAAAAATATGTATTAAAAAAAAGATTAAAAAAAGTTAGTCCCACTGGGCTTACAAACTATTCTCATTATACATGAGATAATGTGCATACAAACTTATCTCATTATACATGATCTCTAAAAGGCCATAATTCCCTCAAAACCCATTCTTCCTTCATTGCCAATCCTGAGGTTTGAGTCCCAGACGCATCAGCTTGAAAAACATGCTGTGTTGGGACCAGCAGTTGGCATAATAGCTATGTCACTGGACTCCCACGTAGTCGACCGCGGTTCATTTAGACTTACCTGTTTTTCCTTGTTCTTTATGAAGAATTCTCTCTGCTCTCTGATCCACGTAAGCGAGCGCGAAGGCACAGATGAGTGAAAGAAGGCAGGTTATACTCCCTAAATCAAAAAAGAGTCAAAGAGAGATTTTCAAAAGATGAACTAGACTGCAAGTTTCTAAAAAGTAGCCAACGTAGACCTTTCCTTTGATTCTCGGCATTTCTCCCAATGCTGATCTCCTATCATTAAAGCAAATCAAAATAAAGACTGAACACAGTTTATACTTCTTAAGAATTTTCCAAAGAAGTTTAGTAAAATGAAGGACTCTCAAATGGCCCACCTGAAAACATTGAGAAGAGGGAAGTCAGTGGTCACAAATTCGACTCCTGGGACTAAATCCCGGGTGAGCGCAGACACAGAATTTCGTCCCTCTAGGACTCACTCTGCCCATCGATAAAATAAGAGGTTCTGACTTGAGGATGGCGCAAGTCCCTTCTGACTCCGAAGTTCTTTAAACATCTAAAAACCCCCATTATGAAAGAAACTAGACAGAATACTGAGAAGAACGGAGAGAAAGAAAGGTCTTTTAAGTGAGGCAGACCACCTGGGACGGAGGAAGAGAGGAGGAATCTTGAGGTCGGAATTGGCCTGTTCAGGATCTCCTCTCCCCACTCTCTTTCACCAGGTTGTACAAGAATTAGAAGAAACAAAAAATGTGCAAATCTCGGGTACAGAGCTTTCACCTCATCATCCCCTGGGTCTCTCTAGGACTCTGGGAGTCGCCACGTACACACTGTGGGGCTCAGACAGACTGGCTGCTTAGAAAAGGCCCACGTGCTGAGTCCAGAGCTGTGCGTGTTCTCAGGGACCCACCCACAACTAGCACAGAGCAGCCCTAGCCGAGGACCCAGGGACAGGAGAGACTACAGTTTGGGTCAAACACCCGCAATTTTACAGGAAAGAAAACAGAGACACAACAGGTTCACTGTTTTACTGAAGACGACAGAACTAGAGACAGTACTAGTAGCCAGGCTCCTGATTCCCAGCTTCGTGGATTTTCAACCATATCATATCACCTCCACTTGTATAAATCTAAGTTCTCTAGGCATATGGCCCGAATTCAACCATTCTGCGCTAGACTATTAATTAATATCTTACACAAATAAACCCTCTGGTTATCCTCAAAGAGTTTTCATCTCTTAGGATATATGAGGTGCAAATGAAAACACTGGAGTAGCCAAGGAGGAATAAGAGCCTCCATTTTAAAAAAGAGAAAATGGAAATATAAACAGGGAACACTTCATAGCCTGGTGATTAAGGAAACTAAATCCCACAGGGCCAGCAGCATGGTTCAAATCCTGGCCCTGGCACCTTGAGAAATACACCAGGCACGAGAGCTAGTGTGCCCAAATCCCAACAGGATAAAGAAGTGGAGCATAAGGGATTGCAGTGTGACCATGACCCACCGGGGGTGTTTTCTCTGTCTCTCTGTCTCTCTGTCTTTTTCTAGCAAACACATGTATACCCTGGCAAATTAAAAATAAACAAAATAAAATAAAATAAAAATCAGTGTAAGGGACCAGCAGATGGCCTAAAGGTTACATCACTGGACTCCCACGTCGCCAACCACTGTTGGAGTCCGGGACTTAAAACTCACTCCCCGCCAGGAAGTGATTCCTCATTCTCTATTTCTCTACCTCTCTCTGTCTCTCTGTCTCTCTGGAGAGGACATATGCCCTATAGCAAAAAAAAAAATGAGGTAAAAGATGGCTATTTCCAGTTAAGTCAAAGAGCCAGTGAGCTGCAGAGACAAAACAGTAACCAAAGTGCCCTGAAGCAATCCCAGGGTTCCTTGCACTCTGCCACAGCATTTCCTAGGACAAGCTGTCAGAGGAGACAAGACGTGGGACATCAGGATTCACTCACCAAGCATGAGTGTGACACCAAGGGTTGTGTGACCAGTAGAACCCAAAGAAGCTTCAATCTCAGAATACAGCCATCCCATGAGGTTCATATTTACTGTACTTCCCTAAAAGAGAAGGAAAAAAAATCAGAATTTAAATGATATAAATTTGTTTTAAAGAAAAGGATTTGGGGTGGGTAAGATAAAACAGTTGTAATAGGATACAGATTAAACAACAGATGATTTTTTTAACAAACTAGAGAAAAAAAAACTAACAAAGATAAAGTGTCAGGTAAAGTAACTACATATACCTCCCAAAATGTCAATTCATTAGAAAATTCTAGTATCTAAAACAGCCTAGAATAATTAGAGCAAAAATGAAGCACAAGTTATAAAAGTCACAAATACCAAAGATAAAAATACACCAGTAGCTCAGGGGAAAAAAAAAACACACAGCTTTTCCTGGTCCTGAAATCTTCTTCCTTCCATAAAAAGGACAGTGAGAGTATATAATATCCTCATTTATTCGTCCACTCAGCAACTATTGAGGCCTGTTACAGGCCAGTCACTGTCTCGGGTGCTGGGAATACAATACAGAACAAAACAGAAAGCTAACCAACTTTCATAAAGCTTGCATTTCAGTGGAGTAAAGAAAAAATATGTAGTATAGTGAATAGTGACAAATGTTTTTAAAAATAAGGAAGACACGGGCCAGTCAGAGCTGCACACACCGGACACTGCTTCATGGCAGGTCACAGGGAGCCCCAGCTTCGACTTCAAACCCACTAATGAGCCCAAGCGGGCTTGTAGCCTCAGCTGTTCAGGAGGCAGAGCCTGAGGATCATGAACTCACAGCGGGTGTGGGCCACACAGCGAGACCAACAGTGAGACTCCATCTGACAGAACAGCTGGAAGAAAAGAGTCACTCTAACTGAGGAGATGTAAATGACAGCAGGGGCTGCTTTAGGGGACGGTGGGTGGCATAGCAAGAGCTGGTTTGGGCCATGTTAGGGGGCGGCACACACCTGTAGTCCCAGCTACTCCGAGAGGCTGAGACCAGAGGATCATAACACAGTGATCTAAAAACACTCATGCACACATACGCATTCACACACATGCATGTGAACACACACACAATATAGATCAAGCACAGGAGGGAAATATTAAATTGGACTTGGGCCTCAATAGAACGTGAATTTGGTATAAAAACTTGGAGATAAACTGTGAGGATATCCAGAAGAAGAATATTCCAGACAGAAGGAACAGCCAGTACACAGGCCTTGAGAGGGAGCTTGCCTGGTGTGCTCGGGAATGAGAAGTCTGTGCTTTGACACTCTGGCTATTGAAACAGACTGTAGGGACCAGCAGGTGGCGTAATGCTACATTGCTGGACTCCCACGGAGTTGAACACAGCGTGAGTCTGGGACCCAACAGCTTAAAACTCACACTGGCATGTGAGTATATGTGCCCAAAATCCCGAGAGGAGAAAGGACTGTGGCATAGCCATCCCCCTCCCCCCGCTACCCTCTGCAGGAGGTGACTTCTTGTTTCTGTCTCTCTGTCTTTCCAGTGAGAGTACACACCCTATTGCAAATATCTTTTTCAAAAAAAAAAAATAATAATAATAACAAAAAAATAACTACAAGTGGGGCAGAAGCCAAGGACCAGGTAGGGAACTCAAGCACTAATCCAGAACACTTGGGTCGCAGACCGTGGTGGTCAGCGGTGGGCATGGTGAGCAGCAGTCGGAATATGGACATACTTCGATGGTAGAGCTATGGAACTTGCAAGTGGAAAACATGTAGAGTGTGAGGAGAAAAAGAAGCATCTTGGGATGACTCCACAGTTTTTGCCAGAGCAAATGGAAAAAGAAATCACCCTTAAAGAAGAGGAATAAGCCACAGCAGGAGCTGCCTCAGCAGATGGGGGTGGACTACCAAGAGCTGGGTTTTGGCCATGTGAGGTTTGATATGCCAACTAGACACCCGAGTGGAAATGCCAAAGAGGCAGAGCACAGGCAAGCACAGAATTCAAGGGAAAGCTTAGACAAGTGATATAAATTCAGGAGCACGAGGCCAGTGGTGGCGCAGGAGCAACGCAGCAGGTCCCACATAGCAAAGGTCCTAGGTTCATGTCCCAGGATCTCCTGTGAACATACCAGATGCAGGCATGCCTGTGATCCAGGATGGCCAAGCCTGGGGGAGGATCATAACATGAAGACCCTATTGGGGGACCTGTCTGTCTCTCTCTTTCTTCCTCTCTGTCTCTCTCACTGTCATAGAAGAAATAAATGAGCAAACGTAAACAGAATCAGGAGTAAGGAAATGCTACTATTGGGTCATCAGGAAAGTCATGATGCATTATGTCCCAATGACCCAATAGAATTGCAAAATAGAAAAGATGACTAAGGCCTTAAGTGTTGGAAGAAAACAGAAGATGCCCAGTGGCCAATCGCTGAGGCATGTCCACATTTACAGTTAAAAAAAAGTGATATAGAACCAGCAAATAAAGTGAAGGGATGACAGAGAGGAAGGAAAAAAAATTGCAAGAACGCGATGTCCTGGAACCCAAGGAAAGAAACCAGGACAGAGAATGCCAGCCGTGTGGAATGCTAGTAATAGGTCACAGCTGCTGCAGACTGAAAACCGAAAATGTTCTCAGCAACACTCTCACAGCAGACAGCAGCAAATTTCACATGGTCACGTCTTAGTAAACACCAGCTGACGGTATGACGCAAGTGAACAGAAGGTAAAGGAAGGCCTCTGGAGACTTTCTCCAATATCATCAAAGATAGAAGCTTCTCAAATAGAGAGATGCTGCCAGAATAATCCTTAAATTCTAAAATGCCTCACATGATCTGACCTAGCAAGTCCTCCATAAATATTTGTTGAAATAATGAGTTTAAAAGTAACGAAACAGGGAACCAGCAGTTAGCGTAATGGCTATGTCGCTGGACTCCCACGTAGTCGACCGCGGTTCAAATATTTGCTGAAATAATGAGTTTAAAAGTAACGAGACGTTGGGGCCAGCAGGTGGCATGGTAGTGGGGGCAGCTGGATTCCACAAGGTCCCAGACCCAGTGGCTTGAAAAACACAGTGGGCACATGTACATGTGTGTCCAAAATCCCAAAAGAGGAATGGAGGAAAGGGATTGCAGCATGGTCATCTCCCCCAGGGAGGGGAGTACTTGCTCACTCCTCCCCCACCTCTGACTTTCTCCAATGAGTGGATACACCCTGCAGCAACCTTTTTTTAAAAGAGGAGGGAAGGGAAGGAAAGCGAAAAATGCCAAGGAAAGTCAAAAGGGTGCTGAACTTCCAACCCCCACCTAAGATAAGACTAAGAAAAATGATAACCAGCCCCATAGCAGAGAAATGAAGGATCAGAGGAGGTCAGTCTCCATAGCAGACCAAGGTTCAAATCCTGGCCCTCACGTGTGCACAGGCTCCTGACAGGATAAAGAATGGGGAGAAAAAGGATTGTGGCAAAACCAGGCCCTACGTGGGGCTCTCCCGTGCTCTCTGTTTCTCTTCTTCCCTAGCAACCTAGCCTAAGGTAATGAGAGATGCAGACAAGCACAGATCAGTTTTATAAGCGAGAGTGTTGGACTCCATGTAAAAAATCATAAACAACTCATGATCAAATAGTTTGATCATGTTAAGAACTTTTTTACTGACTTTCTTCTTCCCTAAAAATGTCGCATTTTCATGCTACGTATTAGTCTTTGAAAGGTTGATTTTTAATGGAAATGATTTTTTTTAAAAAACCCAAACCTCTAGTCATAGGATTTGAGAAGAGGAAATCTCAAAGTGCTTGGGACTACTGAAACACCGTTTAGGTTACATTAAGAAAAACACAATGGGGGCGGGGGGGGCAGCAGGTGGAGTGTTAGTTAAAGGAGCTGATTTCCACATGACCAACCACAGTTTGAGTCCCAGACTTGGTGGCTTGTTTTATCACTCTCCCTTTCTCTCTCTCTCTTTTGTCAAATTAAAAAATAACAACAAATGGAAATAAATAACCTAAAAAAAAAACATAATAAGGTAGCCAGAGTAACATCTACCAGACACCTAAAAAAAAAAAAATAAGGTAGCCAGAGTAACATCTACCAGACCAAACTGGAAAGACGGTGGTGATTTCTAGGTTCCAAATAACGGAGCATACTGGCTACCTGAAATAAGTCCAGAGAGGCCAGACGCCATGGCGAGGGAGCTAGGACCCACATCGCATGACTTAGACACCGGCAGGAAATGAGCATGTCTGAGTGAGAACGGAAGTGCTGTCTCCAAATGAGCAGGGCACTGCAGGGCACAGAGAGGCACACGCGCACCACAGGAGGCAAAGTCAGAGCAATCGGCAAAAGCCACTTGTGAAGGGAGGTTCTGCCTCTAGGGAGGCCGTGGAGCTAACTGGAGCAGGTGGGCTGCCCCATCCCAGATCAAGCTTCCCATCTCTGGAACTGGGCAAGCAGAAGCTGGATGGCCAATGTGGAGACTTCCATAACAGGAACACCAAAGCAGAAATTAGACAACAAGACGTGTAAGGGTCCACTCAGTGTTCAGTCTCTGACTGCAGGTGGTTCACTGAGCCATTTTACACTGTTCCCTAAATGAAATAAAAAGAAATGCCTAATTTAAAGTAGATACTATGCTATGCTCTACAGAAAGATAAAAATCAACACCTAATTGACCAACGCACACACATTGCATTCTGCGATTTTTAAGAGATAACTACAAGATTCAATCTTTTGTTTATTTGGCATCAACAAGTTTATCATTGTACTTACAATTCTAGCCATGCTAAGTTGGAGTCCAAACACCAGATTTAACTCTTTGCCTTTAAACCAACTCACAGCATATGTATTCTGGGCAACTGCTAAAGACTCCCCACCAATCCTGAAAATAGAAAAAAAGAAGAAAAGTTACAGCCTGTCTTCTAAAGAAATGCCATAGTTAGCAATGTTGACCTTTCTGCTGTGAAGAAGGGGGGTCTCTGTCCCCTCCCCTTGAATCTAGGTGGGCTTGTGACTGCTTTAACAATGGAATACGGCTGAAGTGACCCTGTGTGGTCCCAAAGTTGTGTCATAAAAGGTAACATCTACTCTCCCACTCCAATGCACTTGGAGCCCTGCACCGCCCTGTAAGGTCAGTATCCCAGGCTATGAGAAAGCAAGCCACACAGAAAGGCCACATGTGAGTGCTCCAAATGGCAGTCCTAGCCCTTGAGACCTCTCAGCCCAGGTGACAGTCACATGAAGCAACGAACTTTCAAATGATTCCATCCCCTCACCTTGCGCGAACCTTTCCAGCTTAGTCCCCAGATACCAGGAGTGAAGACAGGCTGTACCCTGTCCAAACTCCTGACCTATAATGTCCAAGAGCATCATGAAATGGCTGTTTCATCCTGCTACGTGTTGGAGTCTCTTGACATTCCAAATAATCAGGATAGTCACTAAATGGAGTCTGGGTAACCACATCGTCATCTGCACCATATAAAACACCGATGTGGGGAGAGTGGCTGATACTTTGTGAAAACATAAATCCACACTTCTCAGGCCAACACACAGATCTCCATCAACCGATACCTCTATGAACTTTCCATATTCGACATTTTCCTACTTCCTGGGTTTTCATGTTCTTCCAGTAACTTCTACGTCTTTACCTCTCCTCCTGTAAGCCCTTCAGTAAGAGCTGCTTTTCCTCTTCATCCGAACCCTGAGCCCTCCTCACCACTAACCCAGATCAAGCTTCCCATCTCTGGAACTGGGCAAGCAGAAGCTGGATGGCCAATGTGGAGACTTCCATAACAGGAACACCAAAGCAGAAATTAGACAACAAGACGTGTAAGGGTCCACTCAGTGTTCAGTCTCTGACTGCAGGTGGTTCACTGAGCCATTTTACACTGTTCCCTAAATGAAATAAAAAGAAATGCCTAATTTAAAGTAGATACTATGCTATGCTCTACAGAAAGATAAAAATCAACACCTAATTGACCAACGCACACACATTGCATTCTGCGATTTTTAAGAGATAACTACAAGATTCAATCTTTTGTTTATTTGGCATCAACAAGTTTATCATTGTACTTACAATTCTAGCCATGCTAAGTTGGAGTCCAAACACCAGATTTAACTCTTTGCCTTTAAACCAACTCACAGCATATGTATTCTGGGCAACTGCTAAAGACTCCCCACCAATCCTGAAAATAGAAAAAAAGAAGAAAAGTTACAGCCTGTCTTCTAAAGAAATGCCATAGTTAGCAATGTTGACCTTTCTGCTGTGAAGAAGGGGGGTCTCTGTCCCCTCCCCTTGAATCTAGGTGGGCTTGTGACTGCTTTAACAATGGAATACGGCTGAAGTGACCCTGTGTGGTCCCAAAGTTGTGTCATAAAAGGTAACATCTACTCTCCCACTCCAATGCACTTGGAGCCCTGCACCGCCCTGTAAGGTCAGTATCCCAGGCTATGAGAAAGCAAGCCACACAGAAAGGCCACATGTGAGTGCTCCAAATGGCAGTCCTAGCCCTTGAGACCTCTCAGCCCAGGTGACAGTCACATGAAGCAACGAACTTTCAAATGATTCCATCCCTCACCTTGCGCGAACCTTTCCAGCTTAGTCCCCAGATACCAGGAGTGAAGACAGGCTGTACCCTGTCCAAACTCCTGACCTATAATGTCCAAGAGCATCATGAAATGGCTGTTTCATCCTGCTACGTGTTGGAGTCTCTTGACATGATTAATAATCAGGATAGGCACTAAATGGAGTCTGGGTAACCACATCGTCATCTGCACCATATAAAACACCGATGTGGGGAGAGTGGCTGATACTTTGTGAAAACATAAATCCACACTTCTCAGGCCAACACACAGATCTCCATCAACCGATACCTCTATGAACTTTCCATATTCGACATTTTCCTACTTCCTGGGTTTTCATGTTCTTCCAGTAACTTCTACGTCTTTACCTCTCCTCCTGTAAGCCCTTCAGTAAGAGCTGCTTTTCCTCTTCATCCGAACCCTGAGCCCTCCTTACCACTAAGTCACAGTCCAAAGACACTCTCCCTCTCTTTTCCTCACCCCAACGGTGTACTTGTAGCAATCCCTCTTTGTTCATGGGGCCATGTCTGTCTCTAAATCACTCATATTTTAATGGACATCTTGTTTCCTTCTCTCTCATTAGAGCACATTTTTAGGGTATGTCATATATATGTCTGCATGCTCCTGGTACTTATGAAAAGCTTAAATAAGCTATGCTTTTAAGAATTCCTAAGTTCTTGGGAACCAGCAGTTAGCGTAATGGCTATGTCGCTGGACTCCCATGTAGTCGACCGTGGTTCGCGTCCCGGACCCAGTGACTTAAAACTCACGCCGGGCGCGTGTGAGTGCGTGCCCAGGATCCCGAGAGGAGAATGGAGGAGAAGGGATTGCGTTGTGACCATCCCCTCTGGGGGGTGATTTCTTGCTTTCTGTCTCTATGTCTCTCTCTGTCTGGCGAGCGCACGTGCCCTATAGCAAAAATCTCTCCAAAAAAAAAAAAAAAAAGAATTCCTAAGTTCTAGGCCAACCCCATAGCCTAGGTAGCTAAGGCAGCCCGATCCCACATGGCCAACCACAGTTCGAATCACAGTCCCAGCAGTTGGAAAAATATGCCAGGTACATATGTGTGTGTGTGCCCCAAATCCCAACAGAATGAAGAAATGAAAGAAAAGGGACTGTGACGTGACCATGCCCCCTTGGTGGGTTGATTTCTCTCTCTCTCTCTCTCTCTCTCTCTCTCTCTCTCTCTCTCTCCCTGGCAAGTGCATGTGTCTTCTGGCAACTAAATGAAAACAAAAGACTTAATAAGGTCTGTCATCCGTCTTCCCTTGGAGCAGAAACCCAAGGCTGGACTCAGGATGGTCTTACTCAGCAAATACAGAAAATCCTGTATAGAAATCAACCTATAGGGAGTCATGTAGAGCAATCAGCCTATGAATATTCATGTAGAGCAGAAACTTATTTGAGGTTCTCGAGAAGGGTTCAAAAGGGCCTGCACACTACCCTCTAAGAAAGCCGAAATGTCTGTCAGTCACCAACCAAACAACTGATGGCCTACGCTTTCTAAATGAGGTCAATATGGCAGAATAAACAAGAAATCCTAGAAAAATATCATTCTGGAGAAGTATTTAATATTCAAATCCCAACACAGAATTAACTATGCCCATGCAAAATAGTTGCTTATTTTAAAGAAAAATCAACATAACTAAAAAAAGAATCATATGTATATATGGCTAGATTCCAAGAATCTGAAGTAACTCCCCAGAGGGGACAGATATAAAATGTATTTATATACACATATACTTTTTAAATCTTAATAAACAAAGCAATAATATGCTAGGATAAATTAAATTATGCTAACTTACCCAAACACAAACCTTCCAAATTCCATCAGCCAGAAAGCATTAAATATTCCACCAAGAGCAAAAATAACCTATGATATAGAATTTAAAAATGTAGAATCAATAAAAAAGTTAATTCAAGGTAATCAAGAGAAACAATAAGTAACTTATAACAAATCACAACCTCTACGATAGCTTTAATATTCCTTCTTAGTAAGTGTGTGGCATTAAAACATTGACGTTCATTTGAGTCTTCATATAGACTGTATTATGCCACATAGGCATAAGGTCCCTGCTTCATTAAGCTAGGCGTTCATTAAACACATCTTTGCCAGCAGACTCAATTAGACAAGAATTGAAAAATCACTGACAAGTGAATGATGCCTGTTTTGGCCTTTCTTACCTGTCCAATGCAAACAAAGCAGCTAAAAATAATTGTGCCCCATCTGTGAGAGAGAGAGAGAGAGAATTTCTTAACTTTTTCTTATATTACTATTAGTAACTGCAAAGTGCTTTAGTAATAATTCACTTTGATTTTGGCTCCTCTGTTTTCACGCCAAGAAAATAAAAAATAAGTGCCTGCCTGCCTCTGAAGTCAGTAAGTTTCCTCGCCTAAGTATTAATCTGCAAGTCTAGACTTCTAAGGGGGTTCCAGAAGCTTTATTAGTGACAAATATGAGGTTTAACCATCATCCTCTCTTAAATAAAGCTTAATTCCAGAAGCTTTATTAGTGACAAATATATCAGATTTAACCATCATCCTCTCTTAAATAAAGCTTATTAAATAACCTTCAGGAAGTTCCCAGAATTGAGTGATTTAAAAATGGAAATTTTTGTTTGAATTTCTATTAAGAGCCGAGGACTGATTCCAAGGAATTCTACACTAAGTAATTTTAAGTGGTTATAATTCTTAATAACTAAAAACTATCTTTAAAAGGACAGTTATCAACCACGTTAATGCAATTACAAGCCTATTAACATTCTACGACCTGAATAACGAATTAATGTTCCCCCGGAGTAATAAATGCCAGTATTAAGAGTCTTGAAAGGTCTTCTGAGTAAACTATAGTGCTGAAACTTAAATCTCTCTCAAGAGCCTTGTGAAATTGGACACCACATTCTCTTGAATATTCTCTGGCACCGGAAAACTCACTACGGACCTGAGACAACTTACACCCACCTCCTGTCACCCTGGCCCAGAAAATCCATCATACTAAGTGGAATCTGCTCCCTGGAACTTTCAAGCTAATTCTACTCCTTGAAATAAAGAAAAACAAATGAAATTCTTCACATTTTAAAAACATTAGTCCCCCCCCAAAAAAAAACAAACAAACAAACAAACAAAAACATTAGTCCCCATGTCTGAACACAGTTTTTTTCCCACCAAATATGGTTTGGTGGGAAAAAAATAATCCTAGCCTATCTTCTGAAAATATTCCTAGTCTATATTCCTCCCGAGTGTCCACTAACAACACGTACACAACCAGAAGGGTGAAAAGTGACAAAAGGGTATATAGTGCCATTCCCTCCTCAGCACCTAAGGGACGGGGTCACAAAGTTCATGGACAAAGAATGGCGGAGAGCGGGAACCTCACTGGGGCTGTGGAAAGCATGTACTGCCCGTGTGCCCGACACCGAACACGCCTCTCTCACCTAACCCTCATAACCATTTTGCAGGGTAGAAATTATTATTTATATTTAACCAATGAGGAGGAAACTGACGCTCAGGAAGCTATAAACGGCTCAAAACCACTAGGAAGTGAAGCAAGCGACAGCAGTGGGACTCAGACCCTGCTTCTCTGACCCCAAGTTTGTGCTCAATTTACCTCTCAATAACTGCGTGACTTTAGTTCATCTGCAGCATTCACTAGTCCCCACTTGAACTCAAATACCAACCAAGTGTTAAAACCCAATTCAGGAGACAGAAATGGCATTTTTAAAAACTCATGCAGATTTTCAGTCAGTACAAGTTTATTCAGTTATTTCTAGAAATGCTTTAACTAGCTCTTTATTTTCCTAATAATCAAGTGAGATGTAGCCACAGGCAAGATGTTTTTCAACCTTACCTTATTCCAAATACTCGGTCTATCAAAAAGCCACCAAAGAAACACAAAATGACATTGGGCCACGAATACCAGGCATATAGCAGCATGAATTTCGTGGTATTCACTTGCATATCCTGTAGGG